TAACAGAATATTAGTCAGAAGGAGTTCATCACAAATATAAATTAGATCCTATTTTTATAATAAGTTTTTATTACAAATAAAATGCAATGGTGAGCATGGTATGAAGCCAAAGGGCCTGCTAATACTTCACCCAGAATCTGGCAGATTTACCTGCCTTCATTCCTCATCTTTGAAAAATATTTCCTTCAGTGGCAGAGGCAGAGCCTCTTTTCCCAAGATAACATTAATTTTGCCCTGAGAAGATCCCAAAGACTAGAGAAAGAGAGCTAAAGATAAAAGATGTAACTTGTATAGCATCTACCATGAAATGTTTCAGGTACTATGCCAGGTCCTCGAGGTAAAATAAAATACAAATAAGATAAAGCCTCAACCCTCAAAGAACTTCTGAGTCACAAAGAGTGCCCTACTACAGAAACTTACTTATCAGTTGTGATAAGATTTTATGAACCATGAGTGAGAGTTACATATGCACTGAACCACTGATTCTCCACATTCTCAGTGACAGGTCATGTTTGACTGAATCCTGATCTATTGAAGCATCCCTAGTGTCCAAATCAGCTTCAAGAAACACATCAAATGTTCAGAGGTTAGAATAATCTGGTAACCCCCTGGAAGTACTTGGTGGAGTTGGATGTCTTACATTAATCCTTTAGACCTCAAAAATAACAACAAAAGCTATTTTTCAGATTTAATAAGATGATGGACATGATCTTTGTCTCCATGAACAAAGACATGGGCTTATGCTATACTTGACATATTTTACATTAAATATGGGAATGGAGACACTTCTTGAAAGTATAGAGTGTTAATTTTATACTTTAGGACTGATGTTACCATAGATGTAAGCCTAATAAAGCTGATATCTTTCACTGATTAAAACAAAAATTTGGAAAAAACACAAAAAAGGAAACAATTTAAAACTCTGAAAAGTAAACAAAAATACTTCTAAACAAAAGACGGTGTGTGGACTGGTGCTTTTGTACTAGAAAACTTGAAGAATATCCTATATGGGGACTCTGAAATTCCATTTTTTAAAAAAAATTCTCCACTTATTTATCATGTAAATTTAATGTGAAGGTAGAACTAAGTGGAGAAATAGTTTAGCAATGTCACAGAACACAAGTTCAATGAAGAAAATCAACTGTGTTTCTATATATTTGCAATAGGCCACAGAAAATAAAATTAAAACAGTACCAAAAATTTCCATAAGTATAAGTATAAACTAAGTGTACTCTAACATGTTCAGGATCTGTTTGCTGAAGATCATAAAACACTGATGTAAAAAGATCTATTAATGGATATATATATATATATATATATATATATATATATATATATACTATATTCATTGATTGAAAGACTCACCGTTGATAAACTGACATTTTTTTTACCAGAATAAAATATAGATTCAATGTATCTACAATCAACACACCATAATAATTTTCTCAAAACCTAGATAATCTGATTTTAAAATTTAGGTATAGCAGCAAAGGATTTGTAATAGGTAAAAAAAAAAATTAAAAAGAACAAAGTTGGAAAATTCACATCATTTAATTTTAAAAATTATAAAACTAAAGTAAACATATTGCAATATTTCTGAAAGGAGAAAAACAGATTAATGGAACTCAGAGCCCAGAAATACATATACAAAAATATGGTCAAATAAAATTTGACAAATATGTAAAAGCAACTCAATAGAAAAAGCATACATATTTTTCCAACAAATGGTTCTAAAACAACAGGGCATTATATGCAAAAAAAGTTGATGGAAATCTTATTTTTTATACATAAATTAACCCAAAATGTACCATATAACTAAATGTAAAACATGAAACTATTAACTTCTAAAGAAAATATAAAAGAAAACTTTTGTGACCTTAGGCTAAGCAACAAGTTCTTAGACAAAACCAAAAGCAGAATTAATTTTTAAAAGTTGGATAAATTGGACTTCATCAAAATTGAAATATTTTTGCTTCACAAGAGACAAAAAACACAAGCAACAGACTGGCAGACAATATCTTCAGATCATATTTATTAAAAAGCCACACATGTAGAATATATAAAGAAGTTGCAAGACTCAACAATAAAATAACCCAACTTTTAAAAATGACAACAGAAATTGAACATACGTTTCACAAAAAAATAAATTATGTATAGCAAATATGAGATGTTCACCATAACTAATTATTAAGGTAATGTAAATAAAAGCTTCAATGTATATCATTATTTGCTTATTACTAAATCTACCACAAAAAAATCTAATAATATCAATTCTTGACAGAAATAAGGAATGAAAACAACATTTCCAGTGGGTATGCAAAATGATACAACTACTTCGGAGAATAATTTGACCATTTCTTATGAACTGAAATACACACTATATGAGTCAGCATTCTCACCTCTGGATATTCATCCAAATGAAATGAAATCCTATGCCCATGTATATGAATTCTTATAGTATAGAATCTCCAAAACCTGGAAACAATTCAAAACAGTTGTCTCTCCATGGCAGTGCTGGATAAATAAGCTGTGATATATCTGTATAATTGAATATTACTTAGCAATGAAAAGGAACAAATTATCAATTCAATAGCATAGATGAATCTCAAGTGCATTTTGTTAAGTGAAATAAGCCAGAATCAGAAAACTATGTACTGTGTGATGATATTTAATGACATTTTGGAAAATAACTATAGGAATACAGAACAGGTCTGTGGTTGCTAGGACCTGTGAAAGCGGAGAGCGAGCACAGGGACAGAGAAGAATGATGGCACTGTTTTGTATCTTTTAGTTACACAACTCTATGCATTTGCTGAAACAGAACTACACACACACACACACACACACACACAAATTTTACTATAAGTAAATTTTAAAAATATTAAAAAGAATGGGGGGCAGGAAGATTTATGAAAATGTCATTTATAATGTTTCAGAAGAAAAGGGGTTATTAGCAGTCCTGAATGTTTTATGTAAATTCATGGACCTATGGAACTCTTTAGCTTAGCCCTTTGCAATTTTTATGGTGCTTTAAAAACACTAGTTAACAAGAAGGATGTAGCTCTGGTTTTCATTTTATCCATATTAAAGAGGTTGACAAACCATTGCGAAAAGCATGTGTTCTTTTGCATTATCTTAAACAAAGCCTGATACAACAAAGCAGTTTCCATAGTAATGGCATTTTTTTATTCAACATCAAGACAAATAATTGTATAAAAATGCATAGTCAGAATCATGCAGAATGTGTGCTCGCCAGGACCAGATGAGGCTTCTAGCCAAATAATTTGTCACTTTAAAACATTCTTTTGTTTTTCTAAGAGATTTCAGTGTCTCACTCTTCCTCTTACTTTCCCCAAAGTGGGGAAGAGAACCCTTAAAGCCTTTCTCTAGCTCTTATCTATCATTGAACACATATAATGGAGAGAGAGAGAAAGAGAGAGAGAGAGAGAGAGAGAGAGAGAGAGAGAGAGAGAGAGAGAGAGAGAGAGAGACATTCAAACCATCTAGAAGTGAAAGATTCTAATATCTGGGCATTGAATGTGTATACACATGGTTTTCATGGGGTTTTTTGTGGGGGGGAGGAGGAGAATGGAGGATACTTACAAATGAGTACTAAATGAGTTAGTAAGTACTACTCTGTTTTTGAGAAATCTCAAATGAACTCGGCATTGTACAGAATCTTAGAAACTACATAATTAAATTGTGTTTCAGAAATGACAAAGAAGTGAGCCAATAACTGATCACAAAACTGAGTTACTGCAAGATCTATAAAATCTCAGAGACCCTGGTGCTTAAAAGGACCCTACTCTTGCCTTAGTGCTTTGCTGTTTCTGTCTTGGAATTCTTCATAAGCTTTTAAGTTAAGGGCCCCATAATTTTTATTTTTCACTGGCCCCACAAATTATGTGGCTGATTCTGATCCTACCTTCACAAAGACTGTCTCATTGAAGGAAAACTTTATACTGCACCTAACAGAATGAAGAAGAATTCAAGAGATAAGAAATTTTTTAAAGGCAAATTTCATAAAAAAAGAAAAAAAAAGACTTCTTGGCAAAGAAATCTTAGCACATTTTTGAGAATGTTGCATTAATTACATGAAATTACTACTCAATAAATTCTACTTTCATTTATGTTTCAAGATTTATAAAAGCATATTTTTAAGTATTTTCTCACTCTGTCAAATGTCTTCCTCTTGATAACTTTTTCTTCCAGAACATACTCTCTGCTTCCTACTTAACCTCATGCTTATTGTTCCATTTTTATTGTTCCAATTGAATTGTTCTAGATTTCATTGTGAAAAAAATCAACATTATCACCTGTACTCACTTTGTTAGGATAAATAACAGTGGACAAGTTCAAATTTCAGTTCTAAAATCAGTTTTGCTACTGTATGACTAGGTTTCTAAATTTCTGGGTCTCTCCAAAATAAGTGAAATGGAATAACTATAAGACAAAATAAAATTCTAAATCATTTGAAAACTGAAAGATTTCAGAAATTTCTGGCTTTCAGTCCAGCAATGTAAGGAGCTTAAAGTCATCATTCCCATCCATACAGGAAGAAAAACAGCTGAACAAAGTGAAATCCACGAATTTTCTTAGCTTCATCAGAGAACTGAACATCCAAATTAGAAAGGAAGAAAAAAAATCTCTATTTCCAGATGACATGATCCTCTGAGTAGAAAACTCCAAATAGTTCACAAAACTGTCATAGCTAATTAATGATTTCAGTTAAGTTACAAGATACAATATCAGTATAAAAAAATCAGTAGTATTTCTATACACAATTACCTAGCTGAAAAGGAAATCAAGAAAACAATGCATGCATGATAGCATCCCCTCCAAAAAGAATACTTACAAATAAATTAAATCAAGATAAAAGATTTATACACTGGAAAATATAAAACATTAATAATAAAATTAAAAAATGCTCAAATAAAGGGAAAGATTTTCCATGTTCTTGGATTTAAAAATTGTTTTTAAAAATATTCACACTGCTTTTTTAGCGCCATCTGCTCTCGGCGCCGCCTCCTGCTCCTCCCGTCTCCGCTGCCTCCCTGAGTCACTGCCTGCGCAGCTCCGACCGCCTGGCTCCCCGTACTAGCTGCCGGTATTTGAAGTTCCTACAACATGGCAGACATTGACAACAAAGAACAGTCTGAACTTGATCAAGATTTGGATGATGTTGAAGAAGTAGAAGAAGAAGAAACTGGTGAAGAAACAAAAATCAAAGCGCGTCAGCTGACTGTTCAGATGATGCAAAATCCTCAGATTCTTGCAGCTCTTCAAGAAAGACTTGATGGTCTGGTAGAAACACCAACAGGATACATTGAAAGCTTGCCTAGGGTAGTTAAAAGACGAGTGAATGCTCTCAAAAACCTTCAAGTTAAATGTGCACAGATAGAAGCCAAATTCTATGAGGAAGTTCATGATCTTGAAAGGAAGTATGCTGTTCTCTATCAGCCTCTATTTGATAAGCGATTTGAGATCATTAATGCAATTTATGAACCTACAGAAGAAGAATGTGAATGGAAACCAGATGAAGAAGAGGAAATTTCGGAGGAGCTGAAAGAAAAGGCCAAGATAGAAGATGAGAAAAAAGATGAAGAAAAAGAAGACCCTAAAGGAATTCCTGAATTTTGGTTGACTGTTTTTAAGAATGTTGACTTGCTCAGTGACATGGTTCAGGAACATGACGAACCTATTCTGAAGCACTTGAAAGATATTAAAGTGAAGTTCTCAGATGCTGGCCAGCCTATGAGTTTTATCTTAGAATTTCACTTTGAACCCAATGAATATTTCACAAATGAAGTGTTGACAAAGACATACAGGATGAGGTCAGAACCAGACGATTCTGATCCCTTTTCTTTTGATGGACCCGAAATTATGGGTTGTACAGGGTGCCAGATAGATTGGAAAAAAGGAAAGAATGTCACTTTGAAAACTATTAAGAAGAAGCAGAAACACAAGGGACGAGGGACAGTTCGTACCGTGACTAAAACAGTTTCCAATGATTCTTTCTTTAATTTTTTTGCCCCTCCTGAAGTTCCTGACAGTGGAGATCTGGATGATGATGCTGAAGCTATTCTTGCTGCAGACTTTGAAATTGGTCACTTTTTACGTGAGCGTATAATCCCGAGATCAGTGTTATACTTCACTGGAGAAGCTATTGAAGATGATGATGATGATTATGATGAAGAAGGTGAAGAAGCGGATGAGGAAGGGGAAGAAGAAGGAGATGAGGAAAATGATCCAGACTATGACTCGAAGAAGGATCAAAACCCAGCAGAGTGCAAGCAACAGTGAAGCAGGATGTATGTGGCCTTGAGGATAACCTGCACTGTAATAGCCTATACACAACTATTATTTACTTACAGCCTTATGTTTTTGTATTTTCTTGGTAGACTCAATAATTTTTTTTTAAAGGAAAGGAATTGATATTTTAAAGACAAATTTGTTCTACCTAGCATTTTAACTATAGCTTTTCTGTCGTATCTGTTGAATGCACAAATTCTCACGCATGTTCATTCATTGCTGCAGTTTGGTTCTTCTGGAATATTTGTATCATGTAGCTATTGGAGTACAACTATAAAAATTAACAACTGTTAAATTAAGCTAAATGTTTTTTGTTTGCTAATTTTTTTTCCTGAAGAACCAAAGTAGTTTTCAGCTGGTAGTAAGAGTGACTTTAAGTCTGCTTGCAAAGTTGTGCTTTTCATTTATTTGTTACAGAAATGTAGTGAATTTTTACTAATACAACTCATTTGAGAGAAGAAAAAAACCCATAACAAACATGGTTAAGAATTTCCAGTAAGACCAAACTCGATAACTGTTAGGATTATTAATGAAGTGTAGTTAATTTTAAGGAAACCTAACTCATAATTTGGTTATTGGTTATTACAGGGAGGTGAATAAAATAATTTTCAGAAGGTTATTAACCTGATAAAGTGTACTTGTAATTTTAACTTCCATTAACTAAGCATCTTTTCTTTGTGGTAGGATCTACCTTCTGCTTTCCTGGAAAGGATGAATTTACATCATTTGACGAGCCTATTTCAAGTTTTTGTTGTTTGTTTGCTTGTTTTTGTTTTTGCAGCCTAAAATAAAAATGTCAAATATAATTTTAGTTCTCACAAGATAATGTCTTAATTTTGTACTAATTCAGGTTAGACCCAGAGGCTTGGATTAAAGGTTGTGCCCAGTTTACCATATTATTGAAGGAAAGCATGCCAGCTTCATAAGCAAGTGGAAGGGGGAAAAAAAAAGACTCTTAATGATGTGATATAGTTTTAAAAAGCAAAACAGTTAAATTTTATTTCCTTTGGGCTAGAACCAAAGCCCTAAGCCTGTATGGTTTATTCTAATTCTTATTGCTTTAGTATGTCATTTACCCATGCTTCTGTTTACTGTGTATTAAAATGGGTAGTACTGTTTACTTAACTACCTCACAGATGTGTTAAGGCATATTAAGTTAAATTTCATGAACTGTTTCTCAGCCTTGTTAAAACCTTAAAAATTTGGGCCTGTTTTGAACCACAAGTGTGATATTCGGCATTTTTTTTTTTCATACCAGGCTTCCATAATTAACTGGAAAATGAAGTGAAAACACTTCTCTTCTGGATCTGGCCAGACAACACTCTTTCAGATCTGTGCATGGCCCCTATTTTAATGAAAATTGGATGGGATGAGTGAACTATTCAGTAGGTCCAAGGATTTTTTTCCAGGGTATCAGATGACCATACTGTAACAAAATACTATAGAGATCATGGGACTAAAGTGGTAATAAGACCATTTGGGGAAGGGGAATGCAATTAAATTTGAGACTATAGAGCCACATTTAAAATACCTCAGGCTTATTACTGTTAATTTTGGGGGGTGAACTTTTGGTCTGACAGTGAGGGTGAACTAAATGAATTGTAACAACAGGAGGGTTTGAGTTTCTGCTGTTAATAAAATTACATTAAGTTCACTTTTAGAAGTAATAGTTTTCTTTTGAAAATTTAGTATTAAGGTTTTAGAATGTGAAGACATTTTATTATTTGTATAGAATTATCCATGCCTTTTCCTGAGATTTTTAACTAACTACTGGAAATCCTTAACCAATTGTAATAGTTTTTTTTCCTTCATTTTCAAAATGATTTTGATTGCTTTGACTTCGATAGTCTGTAATTTTTTTAACCATAATCTAAACACAAGCTTTTTCTGAATTTAAAAATTTTGATCTAAAGATAGAATCCCATTTTTAATGAATTGAAAGAAGCAACAAAATCACTATTTTTGTTTTATTCCTTTAGAAAACAGCTATGCCAAAGTGAAAAGATAGTAATACTTCATCTTGTTAAATAATCGGTGTGGTCTGCACAGGAATTGTTTTCTTTATAAAATTGGAGTTTCAGGGAATGTCAGTGTTCATTTATGCCATTTCTTCAGTTCCAAAGTGGTTCTATTCCATTCTAGAAATTTGAAATATGTAATTTGAAATCCTTAATAAAACTTGGAATTAATTTTATAAAAAAAAAAAAAAAAAAAAAAAAAAAAAAAAAAAAAATATTCACACTACTCAAAGCAAATACAGAATACAATCCCTATCAAAATCTCAAAGACATTCATCACAAATATTAAAAAAAAATCTAAAAAAGTCATAAAGAACTACAAAACATGCAAATCATCAAAGCCACACTGAGAAAGAAAGCAAAGTTGGAGACATTACAATTCCTAATTTAAAATTCTATGAAAAAGCTATAGTAATCAAAATGGTATGATTGCTATTACTAACATTAACCAATTAAAATAGTATTGACATAAAATAAGACACACTAATGGACAAAATAGAGGACCTAGAAATAAATTTAAAATACAACTACCATATGACCTAGAAATCTCTCTTCTAGGTTTATAGCAAAAGGAGATAAAATCATTTTAAAAAGATCTGCACTCCCATGATCATTACAGCATTATTAAAACAACCTACATATAAAAACAACTTAAGCATATACCAATAGACAAATGGATAAAGAAAATGTAACACACACGTCTTAAATAACATTATAATAATTATAATATTTAATAATTAATACTTATTATTTGTTATTACTCTGATTATCATATTATTATTATTATTTTATGGTACCACTGTCATTTATGTGGTCCAAGATTGATCAAAAATTATAAAGTAGAGCATGATATACAATGTAATATTATTAAAATATGTATATACAATGTAATATTATTCAGTCCTAAATATGGAGGAGATTCCGGCATTGGCTACAATGTGGATAGATGTGGAAGACATAATGGTAAGTGAAATAAATAAGCCAGACACAGTAAGAAAATCATTATATAATCTCACTTATATGTGGAACTTTAAAAAAGGCAAAAGAAAAACACACAGAGATGGAGGAAGGTAGAAATGTGGAGATGTGGGTATGATACAAAGTAGCAGATATGAAGAATGAATAAGTCAAGAGATTTCACGAAGGACATGAAAAAAAGTTTTATTAAACAAATAGATTTTAGCTGTTCTTATCAACAAGAAAAGTAACTACAGGAGTCCCCCTCATCTGTGATTTTATTTTCCATAGTTTCAGTTGTCAATTCCATTGAACTGCAGTCCAAAAATATTAAATGAAAAAATTCCAGAAATAATTCCAAGTTTTAAATTACACACTGTTCTGAGTAACATGATGAAATCTCATATCATCAAGCTCTGTCTTGCCCAGAATATAACTCATCATTTTTTCCAGTGTGTTCACACTGTATATTCTACTTGTCCATTAGTTACTTAGTAGCCATCTAGATAATGAGATCAATTGTTGTGGTATAACAGTGCTTTATATAAAATTAGGTACTACTTTTGGTGTTAGGCATTCATTGGGGGATTTTGGAACATATTCCCACAGATAAGGGAGGAGTATTGTATGTACAATGAGATACTTTGTTTCCCTCTAGTAACCATTTTACTATCTGTATGTACCCTATAACACCGTGTTAGAAACACCAAACATAGACAAATCCTTTGAGAATTATTTAAAATCTGAGAATCAAAAAGAATGAAGGTGAAATCAAAGTGATTCAGTGAACTAGAATCTTATAATATTCATTAGCTTGTTTCAGACTCATATTCTGATTAAAAATAAGTATAAACACCAGAAAAACATTTAAAACAATTATTTGAAGCCAATTAGACAGTGACAAATCAGGTAAAAAAAAAAACTATATAGGAAAAAAACCTTTGAAACAAGGAAATTACACTAGATAAAATTTTTATTTTTATGACTTTTTGTGTGAGGGCACAATTAGAAATCACACAGAAATATAAAGACAGACTGGCAAAGTTTAAGATGACAAATTTTGAGGGTGCCAGAAGTTATGGTTTGGAATATGGTTTTCCCCAAGTTTTGGGTATGAAGTGTCGTCCAAAATCTCCAGTGTTAGTACAGGAAAGTTTAGCAGTGAAATAATTGGATTATGCAAGCTATAACATAATCAACTCATCCTAGTTGAATGGACTGACTAGGTGGTAACTGTAGGCATCTGGGGCATGGCTGAAGGAGGTGGGTCACTGAAAGTATGACCTGGAAGGTTTCGTATTTCCTGGAGGAGCAGTGCTCCTCCAACATACCCTTCCCTCAGGGGTATGTTGTACTGTGTTTCCCTCTTTCCTCTCTCTGCTTCCTGGCCACCATGTGGTGAGCAGTGCTTCTCCAACATACCCTTCCCTCAGGATGTTTGATTTCACCTTGAACCCAGTGCAGTGGACTCACTCACTATGAACTGAACCTCTGAAACCATAAGCCAAAATAAACTTTTTCTCCTCTAAGTTGTTCTTGTCAGGTATTTTGGCCCCTGTGGTGCAAGCTAAAAAATTAGAAAAAAGAGTTTAGATACAGGGGCCTCAAAATCTATGTAAAAACTCTGTCTACATTCTTAGATAATCTCTAAACTGCACATGCTCAGAGCAGATTCCAAGGTTACCAAAGAACAAATAAAAACCGATAGAAGTGAGCAGCTTAATTTGCAATCCATCAAGAAAGGATGGAGTTTGAACTTTGATTGCAACTGAATCAACTGCACTTATGTTAGAATAAAAATCAATATTCTTTAGAGAGAGTAATAAGAATCCAGAATCTAAAGATGACATCTACCATATCCAAAATACAATTTTAATATTAGTAGATAAGCAAAAACAAAAACAAGAGGAAAATGTGATCAATCAGAAAAGCAGCTTGTTAAATTTATACTAAAATAAATTAGAAAATCATGAAGTTATCAACAAATTTCCTAAGACATATGACGTACCCAAATTGAACTAAGAGGATATAGAAAATGTAAACACCTCAGTTTCAAGTAATGAAGCTGAAGATGCCATCAAAAGCCTACCAACAAAGAAAATCGCAGGACTGAACTGATTCTCAGACCTTTAAAGAAAAACAATTACCAATCCTCCTCAAATTATTCCATGAAATAGAAAAGGAGGGAATCCTTCCAAACTCATTCTATGAAGCTAGTATAACCCTGATTTTTAAAAAATCCATACAAAGACATATCAAGGAAAGAAAACTTCAGACCAACATCCCTCATGAACATAGATACAAAAATTCTTTAAAAATATACTGGTAAATAATATACAAGAACACATTAAAAAGATAGTCACCATGATCAAGTAGGTTTCATCCAAGGTATACAAGATTAGTTCAGTATATAGAAATCAATAAATGTAATTCATCATGTTAACAGACTTAAAATATAAGATCACATGATTATCTCAATAGATACAGAAAAAGCACTTCACAAAATATAGCATGGATTCATGTTTAAAACACTAGAAAAACTTGGGATAGTAGGAACACACCTCAACATAGTAAAAGCTATATATGCTAAACCCAAGGCCAACATCATTCTACACAGAGAAAAACTAAAAGCATTTCCCATGAAAACTATAATAAGGCAGGGACATTGTCTTTCACCATTCTATTCAACATATTTCTTCAAACTCTAGGCAGAGCAATTAGACAGGAGAAAGAAATTAAAGGAATACAAATAGGAAAAGAACTTGAATTTTCTGTTTGTCCATGACATGATGCTATATTTAGAAGACCCAAAAACCTTAAACAGAAAACTTCTAGAACTAAAAAATGAATTCAGCAAATTGGCAAGATACAAAATTAACACCCATAAATCAACTGCATTCCTATACCCCAATGATGAATCAACTGAAAGAGAAATTAGGACAGTTATCCCTTCACAATAGCCTGAAAAAAATACTTGGGAATCTATAACATATAGATTATATATATATATATATATATATATATATATATATATATATATTAATATAACAAAAGAAGAGAAATACCTCTACAATGAAAACACTAACAAAAGAAATTGAAGAGAACCTTAGAAGATGAAACCATCACCCATGTTCTTGGATAGGCAGAATTAATGTTGTCAAAATGACCATACTACCAAAAGCATTATACAGATTTAATGAAATTTCTATTAAGGTTCCAATGACATTCTTCATAGAAATAGAAAAAAAAGGGATTAAATTCATTTGGAAAAATAAGAGGCCCAGAATAGCCAAAGCAATCCTTGGCCAGAAGAGTGAAGCAGGAGGTATCACAACACTAGACCTTAAACTATACTACAGAACTATAGTAACAAACATGGCATAGTACTAGCACCAAAACAGACATGAAGACCAATGGTACAGAAGAGAAGACAGAGAGTCAACCCACATAAATATAGTTATTTCATAGTAGACAAAGGTGCCATAAACATACATTGGAGAAAAGATAGCTTCTTCAACAAATGGTACTGGGAAAACTGGAAAATTGTATGTAGAAAAATGAAATGGAACCTCTCTCTCTCACTCTGCACAAAACTCAACTCAAGATGAATCAAAGACCTAGGCATTAGACCGGAGACCCTGTGCCTACTAGAAGAAAAAGCAGACCCAATTCTCCATCA